GGTGACTACTGGGATGTATCTGGTTTCTGCATGGTGATCTTTGAAAAATATATATAATAGTAGTATTTATTTCATAATTATTTAAAACCCTTCAGTGGCTTTATATCCACTATAGGTTATAGATAAAGCTCCTTAGCAGGACTTACAAGGATTTGTCTCTGCTTTCTCTTCAGCTTCATCTCCCATTTGTCCTGCTCCACCTGCTTGCCTTTTACATTATAATCAAACGCAGCAAGTTAATTATAGTGCCCAGTGGTATACACATTTCATGCCAGTTTGTCTTTGCATTTGCTGTTCTGTCTGCTTTAATATCTGTATCTCTACCCAGTCCACCTGAAAAACATGATTTTTCCAAGAAGTCATCTTCTCCAGGAAACCTATAATCCTCTTTCCGCAGACTCAGTTATTTGTGTTTTTTGCTCTGTTCTCATAGCAGTTTGTCCATACTTTTCTTACCCCATCCTCATTATATTGTAATTATTTTTTATATATGTTTTCTCCATAGACAAAGAACTCTGTAAGATCAGAACCTGGATCTTACTAATTTTTGTATTTCTAAAACCTTGTAGAGTGGTTAGCATATGATAGGTTGTTGAATAAATAGTTGTTGCTTGGATAATTTCTTTTAAAAAGATCAGCACAAGGCCAGCCCCTATGAGGCAGAAGTTAAAGATGTCCCAAATGCTAACTTTTCCAAACTGCCATGCCGCTCCATCATCCTTGACATCGACAACTCCTCCTCCCCTCAATAATCTCCCTCCAGTCTTAGGGTTCTGTATATCACTGTAACATCTCACAGAACTCAAAAACTCCCAAGAAAGTGGCTCATGTGGTGGTGGTGGAGGCTGAGGCTGGCAGGCTGGCAAGTCCCAGGTCTATGGGTAGGTCTGGAGGATTCTCCCAACTCACATGCTTACAGGGGTTGGCGAACCCAAATTGGCAGGTCAGATGATGGCTGCTGTGTCAAGTCCAGGGCTGAGATGATGACAAACCAAACGAAGAACTGGAGCAAGAGAGAGCGAACTTTCCCAGAACATTCCCATATATATCCTCATGGAAGCCAACGGTGGTGACTTGAGTCACACCCTCTAGCAAGGCAGGACTCAGCATATATCCCACTCTAAACAGGCATAGAGAATAGGATTTAAAATATATCACAAAATGGGTGGTGACTTGAGTCACACCCTCCTTCAATATATGACTCAACATGCATCCCACCCTAATCAGGCATAGGGATTTAAAATACATGCAAAATGGGGGATGATGGCTGGAAGGGCCATATTAAGCAGTTCGCTGTACTGCAGTTGTTGATTATATATTTGCATTTTATCTTGGCCTTTCTAGAAATTTTGTCAATGCAAATGCTTTACCAAATTCATCAGGATTGGGGCCCATGTATCTTTGTGTATCTGGTTGCTACATGATACTTGCTCTATAATAATAGCCCCTTAGTAAAATACAAGGATGGGTGGATGGATGGGTAAATCAAAAACCAAAACAAACCCACTGCTATTAAGTCAATTCCAAATCATAGTGACCTATAGCACAGAGTAGAATTGCCCCATATGGTTTCCAAGGCTGTAAATCTTTACAAAAGCAGAGTGCTTCATCTTTCTCCCATGGACCAGTTGGTGGGTGTGAACCACTGACCTTTCAGTTAGCAATCAGATGGTTTAACCACTATGCCACCAGAGCTCCTTATGGATGGATAAATGGATGGAAGGCAAGGAGGAAGGATGGACCAATGAATAGCAGCTTTACTTGTTTTAGTAATCTGGTGTTCTAATATTGAGCCACTATATGCCTTACGTTGGATGCTAAGGATACAAAGACATAAACCCAGCTGCTGGGAAGGTACAGGCTATTTGTGAGCATCAACAAGAATGCAGAATATTATTATTGAAGGTGCAGGTGTTAAGATGGAAGCTTCTTTCACAAACTGGCAGCGCTTGCACATAGCAGAAGTAGAGAAGGAATCATCAGGGAAGATGATCATCAGATCAGACTATGTGTTTTGCATCTTGAGTATGAACCAGAAGAAATAGTAGAAGCTTAGAGGAGGTGTTTTTGCTGTGTCAAAAGAAGGCAGCTTTTGAAGTCCTGAAGACCCGAATTTAAGTCTTGCCTTTGCTTAGTCTGTAACTTTGGAAAATGACTTAATCTGAATCAATGTACTGGGAATATTGTCATAATTTTATTTGTGCTTATTCTGTTTCCTTTTCCTAGAATGTTCTTCTCTCCTCTCTGGTACAACTATGCAACCTTTAAGACTTCTCTCACCTTTCACTTCTTCTTTGGGGCCTTTCTAGACTACTTCCCTCTTCCTTCTCTTTATTCTCTCCCTCTTTAATACCTTTATACTATCCTCTAAAGGGTTTTTCACAGAATGTATAAATTGTGTGTTATTTCCACTAATATTATGTCTCTCTGTATTGCACCATATGTTTCTTAAGGGCAGCAGATACTCATCTTTATATTCTGGTGCCTAATGAAGTCCTGGTACAGAGTAGGTGTTCAGTATATGTTAATACCTTTTTCCCTAGTTCAATATAATGATTTATTTTCACTGAAGATTTCTTGGGGACACCTTGCAAATCACAGTCCAATAACTGCTTGTTTTATCTGTAGAAGCCATTCTGGTCAGGGCTAGATCTTGTTGCTGTTGTTGTTGTTATGTGCCGTCAAGTCAAACCCGACTCATAGCGACCCCTCCTTGGGTTTCCGAGGCAGTATCACTACGGAAGTAGGATTGCCCAACCTTCCTTCCGAGGAGTGGCTGGTGGGTTTGAACCGCCAGCCATCTGGTTAGCAGGCAAGTGTCTTAGCCACTATGCTACCAGAGCTCCCAATGTTAAAATGTCTAGTGTAATCCTTATTCTGGAATATAAGCTGTTTATATTAAATCTAATAATTGCCTATTTCTCCTTCTAGATAATTAAAGTCTTAGTGTCAAAATGTGACTTGCAGTGGCTTCGTTAATTTTCCAGGGAGCTGTGTAAAGTGCATTAAGGTGCTCGCTGTAAGGGAGTGATACATTGTCAGTCTGTCCTCAGTCACTTCCAAGTGTAGCAGTAAGGATCTGTTAAATTTATGTTTGTAATAGTGATTTATTTTTCTTTGAATATGAGAATGAAAAGACCCTCTATACCAGTGTTATCCAGTAGAATTTTCTGCAGTGATAGAAATGTTCTATATCAGCTCTGTGTAATACTGTATCCACTAGTGACATGTGGCTTTTGAGCACTTAAAAATGTGGCTAGTGCAGCTGAGAAACTGAATTTTTAATTTTATTTCATTTTAACCAAATTTAATTTTAAAAGCTGCATGTAGTTTATGGCTAGTTTATTGACTGTGTAGTGCTAAACAAAATTCATCCTTCTTTATATCATAGGCATTAAATATAAGCTTGAATCTTTTTTCCTTATAACCATCAAGTAATCAGGTTCTATTAATCTTCCATGAATTTTTTTTTTTTTTAATATCTCATTTAGATTGTTGCAGTGCCTTCTCACTTCCAGGTAGTTCTAAAGACTGTTACAAAGTGAATCCTAATCAAACACCCTTTTAATAACTTTAATCATATCATTGATCTGCTACAGTATTTTCATTGCCTCCCCATTTTCTGTCCTCACATCCCTCTTCAGTCTGGCTTAGTTGGTATTTAAAATCTTACAGGTTTGTGTTCCAGTCACAATGTTCAACTTATTTCCTTGCCTTTGCCTTTTCGCTTACTTAAATTATTTTTTGTTTGTCTAAATTCTACCTATCTTTAAGGCCTAAGTCCCATCCCCTCTAAGAAGTCTTTCTTGACCTTCAGTGATCTTTTTAAAAAGCCCCTTTACTTACTGCCTTTACCCTCCTTAGCAGTTATATACATCCTTGATTACCTTTTTTGTGTTGTTATATACAGAAGTCCAAAAAACAAAACAAAAGAAAACAAAAACAAAATGCCAGCTCAATTGTAATTCTGTTTGAACATCCTAACATGTCCCCTTAAAAACAATGAGGTTTCCTTATGTTTACAAGCTATCCTTAAGCGTCTTCATTTCAATTCAGCTAATTGAAAAAGAGTGGTCTTACTTTTTGTAGCGTCTTCTATTCTTTGATTCTTCAGAACTCTTTTATCTTTAAATGCTCAAGATTTTCATTATAACTCCATGAAAGTTATAATAGTCCCTGGGGATAGCTGTGATGATAAAGGGTTAAGATTTTTATTGTTTCTGACTTGGTGAAAATAGCCTTAAGGGCAGTGGTTCATTCACTTATTCATTCAATAGATTATTTATTAAATCCTTACCTTGTGCTAGGCAGGAGTCATGGTGGCATAATGGTTAAGTATTCGCAGCTAACACACAGTCTTTTGTTCAAGCTTACCAGCCTCTCCATAGGAGAAAAGACCTGGTGAATTCCCATAAAGATTACAGCCAAGGAAACCCTATAGCACAATTCTTCTCTGTCACATGGGAATCACTATGAGTTGGAATTAACCAGATGGCACACAACAACAACAACAACATGTGCTAGGTAAAGTCCCTGGATGGTGCAAATAGTTAACATACTTAGCTGCTACTGAAAGGTTGGAGATTTCAGTTTACCCAGAGATACCTTGAAAGAAAGCCTTGTAATCTACTTAGGAAAAATCAGTCATTGAAAGTCCTGTGGAACACAGTTGCACTATGACACACATAGAGTCTCCATGAGTTAGAATTGATTGGATAGCAAAAACACCCTTCAAAATTGCTATGCATTATTCTAGGTACTATGGTTATATCAGTGACAACAGACAACAACCAGTAAATTCTAGTTAGATATTTTATACTATTTATTCTCCCCAACTAGTGTGCTTGATGTAATGCTTGATATGTAAGCAAATAATAAACATTCCATTTAGTATTAAAATATGATTGAATAAAACTTTTTATTCCATTCAAATTACAAAGTTAAATTAATACTATTAATGTAAAGCCTGAAGAGTGTTTCTTTTTTGTCATTTGAACTAGAACATCCTGAAGATGTGGCTCCTACTATTGGATTTTCCAAAATTGACCTTAGACAAGGGAAGTTTGAAGTCACCATCTTTGACTTGGGAGGTGGAAAGAGAATTCGGGGAATCTGGAAGAATTACTATGCTGAATCCTATGGAGTAATATTTGTTGTGGATTCCAGTGATGAAGAGAGAATGGAAGAGACAAAAGAAACAATGTCAGAAGTTCTGAGACATCCCAGGATATCAGGAAAGCCTGTATTGGTGTAAGTAGTGATGGTGTCACTCTAAATATAGGGCAGTGGCATTTGCTGTTGAAGGAATTTACAAAAATTATAAAGTACTGAACAAGTCACAATAATGACCATGAGTATAATGAAAAGAATATTGTTTCTAGGGATATATTGGGTATATTGTGAACAATCCTTAGAATTATATTTTCTGGATAGTTACATATAAGCTGTTTATTTTGCTGCTGATATACTTTTTTTTTTTTAAATCACATTTTGTATTTTGGAATAGTGTATTAATAGAGTTCAATAGCATTCAATATATTTTTTCCTCTTAACAACTTATGCTTTGTTTTTATTCTTATTTTCTTGAATATTCTTATTTGAAATTTATTTAAATGGTTCATTTTCCTAATTCTCAATTTTTATTTTTGCATTTTCATATTGAACATGTGCTCTATGTCATTATAAACTTGAACATATACATAAATCATTGTGTCCAGGTGAACTGAGCATTTTTATATGGTAAACACTAGATGGTGCTATAATTATGAGACATAGTAAAGTGAAAGTACTTTGAAATATATATTGCTCTTAAACTTGGAGTAAGCTGAATGTATGCACTTCTTTTCTTTTCTTTTTCTCCTCATTCTTGTGGTTTGTTACATAAAGGTTTTACCTTATGCAAAAATTAATAGACTTACTATATTGTTAGAGGAGAATTGGAAGCAAAGCTTCTCAGTGTTCTTCAGTAGTAAATGAACATTTTTAAATGAGGCAGATGGGAAGCTCTGACTAAAAGTGGTAAAGCCCTATTGAATCACTTTGACAAAAATTGTACTGTTTAATTTTTATATATTTAATCAATTAGATAAATTATGAGATTTGTATAATAAATTCTCACCTTTACTGACTCTGAAGTAAATAGTTTTATTTAGAATTATATAAGAAAGTTTGTTGAAACTGGCCTCCCTTAGGCTAAAGTAGACTCTACAGATGTTTAAGCAGAGAACCAATGACTTCTAGACTAATTAATGTATTAATGACTGATGATCATTTGAAAAAGAAATTGTGTATGCTTTCAAAAGCCTAATATTTATTAGTTTTCTTTTCATTTATTCTTTAATACATTAACTTAGGCACATGTTCTTTGAATACCCAGTTTGTGCCAGGTATTCTGATGATGGGGGTGTGTTAGTGAGTGAAACAACAAAAGCCCATGTATGACCTCATGCACATACATTCTAGGAGTGAGGCTCTCAATAAACATAACAAATTGTATCTTTGTTACAGTTGTTGTTGTTGTTAATTGTTGTCAAGTGAGCTCCAACTCATGGTGACCTCATGTACGACAGTATGAAACGTAGCCCCATCCTGTGTCATCGTTATAATTGTTGGTATGCTTGAGTCCATTGCTGTGAGCACTGTGTATCTTGAGTGCCTTTAACCTAGAGGCTTTATATGTTGGACATCATTTTGTTGTGATCCATAGAGTTTCTGTTGGTTAATTTTTGGAAATAGATTTTCAGGCCTTAATCTACCTTAATCTAGAAACTCTGTTGAAACCTGTCTACTGTGGGTGATTCTGCTGCTATTTGAAATACCTGTGGAATAGCTTCCAGTATCATACAAACATGGAAGTCACCATAGTACAAAAAAACTGGAAGATGGATAGTGATATTGTACATTGTTGTTGTTAGGTGCCGTTGAGTCGATTTTGACTGATAGTGACCCTCTGTGCAACAGAACAAAACAACTGCCCTGTCTTGCACCATCCTCACAGTCATTGCTATGCTTGAGCCCATTATTGCAGCCACTGTGTCATTTCATCTCGTTGAGAGTCTTCCCTCAATGACTTTACCAAGCATGATGTCCTGCTCCAGAGACTGATCCCTCCTGATAACACATCCAGAATATGAAAGGCAAAATCTTATCATTCTCACTTCCAAGTAGCATTCCAGCTATACTTCCTTCAAGACATACTTGTTTGTTCTTCTGACAGTCCTTGGTACAGTCAACTTTCTTCACCATGACCACAATTGAAATGCATCACTTTCTCTGCATTTTTCCTTATTCATTGTCCAGCTTACACTGGCATGTAGGTCAAATGAAAATGCAAAGGCTTGGGTCAGGCTGCACCTTAGTCTTCAGAGTGACACCTTTGTTCTTTAACACTTTAAAGAGGTCTTCTGCAGCACATTTGCCTAGTGCAATACATTGTCTGATTCCTTGACTGATGCTTGCATGAGCATTGACTGTGTATCCAAGTAAAATGAAATCCTTGACAACTTTAATCTTTTCTCCATTTATTGTGATGTTACTTTTTGTCCGTTTGTGAGGATTTTTTTTTTCTGTTGAGGTATAATCCGTAATGAAAGCTATAGCCTTTGATCTTCAACAATAAGTGCTTCAAGTTATCTTCACTTTCAGTAAACAAGATTTTGTCATCTGGCATACAGGTTTTTAATGAGTCTTCCTCCCATCTTGTTCTTGCACTCTTCTTCATATAGTCTAGCTTCTTGGAGTATTTACTCAGATTGGATTATTTACAGATTGAGTAAGTATGGTGAGAGGATACAGCCCTGATACACACCTTTCCTGATTTTAAACCATACAGTATCCCCTTGTTCAAAGTACTGTACATTAGGTGAAAATTACATGAAAAGAAATTAAGTGGTTAAAAGAATATCAGGAATGCCTTTGATAGTGATAGTGGCAAGGACATGTTGCTCTTATAATTAGGTGACCCACAGTAGGCCTTATTGAGAAGATGACTTTTGAGGTTCACGTATCAGACATACATATAGGTATCTAGGGAAGAGTCTGAGGCAAGGGCATGCAAGTGATTAGTGACTACATCGATTACCCAAATACCTCTTGGCAAGATGCCTGCTTTCAGTTCTATCAGCTATCTCAGTAAATTTCCTGAATTGTTGTTTGATACCTTGGAGCTGATTTCAACTCATGTTGTTGTTGTTGTTATGTGCCGTCGAGTCAGCCCTGACTCATAGCGACCCCTCCTTGGGTTTCCGAGGCAGTATCACTACGGAAGTAGGATTGCCCAACCTTCCTTCCGAGGAGTGGCTGGTGGGTTTGAACCGCCAGCCGTCTGGTTAGCAGGCAAGTGTCTTAGCCGCTATGCTACCAGAGCTCACGATTTCAACTCATAGCCCCCCAAAAAAATTACAACTAGGGTGATTGCTTCACTACTGTAATCTTACAGTAAGTGAGAATGCTCAACGAAAAACAGCTCACTGCCTTCGAGTCAGTTCTGACTCATAATGACCCCCATTGGGTTTCCAAGGCTGTAAATCTTTTTTTTTTTTTTTTTTTTAATTGTGATTTGGGTGAAAGTTTACAGAGCAAATTCACTTTCCATACAGCAGTTCACATATACCTTTCTCATGACATTGACTACAATTTACCCCAATACAACAGCTCCCCTCCCACTTACCTCTTCCCTGTGTCCATCGCTCCATGTATTCCTGCCCCCGAGCTGTCTCCCTGTGCATAAACAGCCCTTCTTTCTCCCATGATTGTTCTCTCCAAGGAGTGTATCTACTTCAGGTAAATGTTCAACTTATATGCCTGTCTTTTGTTTGACTGGAAGCCACAAGTGTGGATTCAATTCCAGACCCGAAGGGCACCAAGGCTGTAAGTCTTTACAGAAGCAAACCACCTCATCTTCCTTTTTTGGAGCAGCTGGTGGGTTTGAACCATCGACTTTTTGGTTAGCAACCAGTGCTTTAACCACTCATTATGAACAGTATAATATGTTTATGCAATAGAGAATGATGTTCTATTTGACCAGTTTTTCTCAAGGGAAAATTACAACCACAGAATTTTTATTAGTAGATATTAACTCATTTTTGAAGTGAATGTACTTTAAAAAATAAATAAGATGTATGAAAAGAGAAATATATTTAATAAATTTCTAAAATAAAAAAGATGAGTTTATAAGATAATGAGGTTAAATCATTCATTTATCATCCAGAGCCAATTACTGTTCACATTTTGCTGAATTTCCTATTAATGTTTTTATAAAACAGGTAATGTATACATTGTTCATATAAATATAATATTTTGTAATCCTCTTTTTTATATTATAAATCCATCTTGAATATCTGCCCAAGACACATATTTGGAAGTTCTCTTGTTTACCTTTTTCTCTCTGGCCTACAATTAATTTTTCTTATGGTCTTAATCTCTCTTGTCTGTTCACTACTGTCTCTCTATCCCTTGATGTTACCTCAGTTTGGTCCTTCTTCATTTCTCCCCTGCATTACTGGTAATCAGTTTCCTAACCAGTCTTCCTGCTTGTCCTCTAGGCACTTCCCTGTGTTGTTGGCAAGAGCTATTTTCTTTATGTGATATTTTTTAAATTAGAAAAAAGCTAAATACTTGCTATAAGAAATGAAATAATGCAAGAATATGTAAAGGATAGAGAGCTTTTTTAAAAATGCAAATCTGATAATTTTACTGTTTGTCTAATTTAAGCCCCGTCAGGTTCCCTTTCAGCATAAAGGGCTACCTCTTTAATATGGTGTCTAAATGGGAGGTTTGGTAGCATAGTGCCTAAGGCACTTAACTGCTAACCAGAAGGGTGGTGGTTCAAACCCAACAGCCACTCCTCGGAAGGAAGATGAGGCAATCTACTTTCATAGTGATACTTCCTCAGAAACCCAAGGAGGGGTCGCTATGAGTCTGGTCCGACTCGATGGCACGTAATAACAACAACAACAACAACAACAGGTTTAATGATACGATTATTTAATCTCTTGCTTTACCACTTCTTTTTTGCCTTTCTCTACTCAAGCTCTTAAATATGATGCTACCACCTGTCTGCAGCATCCATTCCTCAGCCATTTGTATGGCTAAGTTCTATTGTGTGGCCTAATGGATAAGGCCTCTGATTCTGGATCAGAAAATTGAGGTTTTGAATCCCTTCCATTGTTGCTGCTGTGAACTTTTGAAGGAGCCATTGTGTCATAGTGGTTAAGTGCTCAGCTGCTAACTGAAAGGTCTATGGTTGGAAC